TTACGGTCGTAAACACATGAGTTTACGGCCGTAAACTCATGGTTCTCGACCATTTTGTGTTTTGAAGCTCTACAAGTCCTAAGAAGCATTCCTACTTCAAGTGTAAGCCTTCGGAAGGGATTTGGGGCACCATTTCACTCCTTTGTGGAGTTTACGGTCCTTGGACCATTTGTCTTTGGGTTTACGGCCGTAAACCCAAATGGTTTATGGTCTTTTGATGTTTTCAAGTACTAAGCACATCAAGGAAGGAGTCTAGGCTAGTTTCCAAGGCTTATAAGGGTCTAGGGCACACTTTGGCACCCTTTTTAGGGTTTACGGTCGAAGGTGTTCTTGGACCGTAAACACCTTTGATCCTTTGAATCTTTGTGTTTTCTAGATGATTAAGAAGTGTAAGAAGCCTTATAGCACACTAGGGTAAGGGTACTTACAATAGAGAAGCTTGAAAGGTGCTAAAAGTCCAAGAACACTAGTGTGTGTTCTTGGTGTTCTTGGTGAAACTTGAAGATCTACACTTTTGGAATGATTTCACAGATGGAATCATGTTATATCACTAGGTTAAGCAAGATATCAACTTTCTAGGGTAAGAAACACTTACATAGTTGAAGATCAAGAAGAAAAGTTGGTTGATACTTGAGAGGATTTGAGTTCTAGACTTGAAAATGGTGAAAAAAATGGTAAATATGACTAAGTGTCATATTTATACCCCTCCCCTTAGGGTTTACGGCCGTAAACACCCTTGTTTAGGCCGTAAACTCCAAACTCTTGGAGTTTTGGGACATTATTGCTACACAATAAACCCTAGGGCATCCTCTCTCCTGTTATCTCCTCAAGTATTAACTTATAAACACTCAAACTTATTCCAAAAAGCTTGAAAGTTAGCAGAAACTGTTCTGACTTCTATTGAATTGAAGGGTTGTACAGAATAGAAATTTCGGTTTGTCACAATTTATCAAGAGCTTACTATTGCTTCGGAGTCTTCTTTTTCTACAAGTGGTAGAATCGTTGGTCCACATAGGAGTAGACTTCTTCCGTCAACAATTGAAGCTATCATATGCACTCAAAATTGGCTATGGGCGGGTAAAAAGGTATGTATGAATTTGCTTGAACCATTGTTTTTTAATTCATTTTAATATATTATGCTTATTACCTTTATTTATTTTTTCTTTGTTAGGTTGTGTTATTAATGGTGATGATGTACATTCAGATGAAGACGACGAGGGACTTGAGGTAAGATTGTTCAGTTTGTCGTTTTGTATTGAAGAAACTAATATAATCATTTATTTTATTATTATTTTTGTTATTTATTTAGGGAGGATATTCGAATGTCAGTGAATGAAGAGTTGAAGGAAACTAATGGATACTGAAGATGTGGTGAATTAGTGTTTTATATTTGTAATTTTGGATTTGTCATATTTTGCATTTGTAATGTTGGATTTGTCTTCGTAAGATTGTTGGATTTGTCTTTGTAAGATTGTTGGAATTGTTGGATTTTTAATGTTTTAGTTTCTAAAAGATTAGATTCTAAGCTTTTAAATTTATTAAAAATAGTATTTTTGCCAAAAACAAAGCAGTTTTTTAGCAAAAAAAAAATCCAATCTTAAGCCGGGGAACCGGGGGAACGGGGGCGGGACCGGGGGCGATGGAGGTAACCGGGGGCGGGACCGGGGGCTGTGTAAACGGGGGATCCGGGGGCTGGAGCGACAGCTGATTTCGGGGGCGGGGGCGGGGGCACCTATTTTCGCTCCCGTTTGCCCCCGTTGACATCCCTAGCTCCATTATAACCAACACTTCTCCAAGGAGTTCTTCTTTTTCCAAATGCACCAAAAATCCACCAAAATCACTCCAAGGCTCAAAATTCTTCCAAATGGGGCTAAAGTTTTGAATCTTGGGTTAGAGGGGATGGAGGCTGAAGATAAAAGGGCTTGGAAACGAGTTAAGGCCTTTAAATATGGTCTAAGACCCTAAATTAGGGTTTGCATATGACTGGAGTACGTCCAACGTACTCAATGACACTCCGTGATCATCCCAACCCAGTACACCCAGTGTACGCCCTGTATGCCCATCGTACTCGGCTTAGCCCAAAACCCGTATAACTTCAAACGGTCATAACTTCTTCATTCAAACTTCGTTTTCGATGATCCTTATATCCACGGAAAGGTACTGAGGAACTCTACAACCCTATCTAATTATTTTTTACTTAAAACACCTCGAACTAAAATTCTTAATTCATAAAAGGCCCAAACCATCATTTTCACTATTATACCATTGGGCTCCAAAGCACAAACCAAACTCTTGGATCACATAATCTACATTACCCTCATCCCAATGGGTCTAAACCTTTATTTCCCTAAAGTCTGAAGCCTTATGATAACTGATCTTCGAGTCACGACCCCGAATTATGAAACGACTCGAAACAGGGTGTTCAATTATTTTGATAGTATTATGATTCTTTAGTTTTTTTTTAATACAATCTGATTTATTGAATGGCAAATTGAAATGTATCCTAATTGTAAAAATCAGAATAACGTGTATCATATACATATATAGTAGAATCATATATATATTCTTAAAAATGTTATTGTAAAAAGCCAATTTGGTGTATCTAAAAGAATGATATTTTAGATTCGTAATGTTGATTATTTGCAACCAAGTTTCAAGGATCCTTAAAAATCTGATCAAAATTATTAAACAAAAAAAATCAAGAATAAAAGTATTCTTTTATAATGAAAATTATTTTTGATTATAGTTCAAATGTATTCTTTTAGAATACATTTACATTATTTAAGAAAAAACCAATCTTGAATTTTCTATATATCCCTATTTATTTATTTAATTATTTTAGTTCTCACCCTAAAAGATTAAAATACCTTTAATCCTTTATAGCAACTTTTTTTAGAAACTATTGTAAGGCCCTGAAATCTAGGATCCGAACCAGTGATCAAACAAATAACAATCAAACAAGATTAGAATGGAGTAGAAGAAGATTAAACCAAGCTTTGCACACGTTTATATCAAAGAAACGTCAGGTACAACTTGGACACACACACATAGACCGTAAACTATGTGAACTGAAAACAACAACTGACAGACTCTGACAAGCCCTATATATAGGGGAAAGGCTGGCCGTAAACAGGTTTTCGGCCGTAAACAGACTATTGGCCGTAAACACATCCAAACAACTCTATTACATGACAAAAGACCCATTAAGACCTATACATCAGATAGCCTAGCCCAAAACATAAACTAGACCCTTCAATCCCCCTTGATTTGAGGCTAGCTTTGACTTAGTCCTTTTCAATGATAAGCACATCAGAACCCCCCCCCCCCCCCCCATCACGCCACTCCACATCTCTTTTGCAATGATCTCTGCAACCATTGACGTGTATTCTTTAGCAGCACTCTCGAAGATCTCTTCAGCCACTTTGATCTGATGTTGTGCCAAATGATGAATATCCCACTTTCCGAATTGAAGTAGGTCTCTTTTGTCGAACAGGCGAAAACAACCATCTTGAAACTAAATGACAGCAGACGCAGTGGTTTCATCATACACCCAGTAATGCATATTCGCAAGAGATCCATCACGGAAGTTTTGCAACACAGGAATCTGCCTAACTTGGTTGGTCGGTGGCCACATCACAGTCTAGAAAGGCTGATTTGTCTTGGGATCCAGTATGTCAGGGAATCTTTTAATGAAGGACTCAGCAGTCTTCATGTTAGGAAATCCCTTCTTTATTTGGTTCTCCAAATACATCTTGAAATGAGTTGCCCGTGGATTACCTGATGGATTTGCAAATGGAGCACTGGATAGTTCTGAAAGATCAACCCTTGTCCATGAACTGAAATCATGGAAGTCTTTGTAATACTCCACGTTTAAGCTTTTGCGTTTCACTAACCACATGTTTAACTTGTCATGAAAGCCCCATGAGACAATTCCTGATCTATCACCGTACTTGTGTCCAAATCTTTTCTTTTCAAGATCGGTGACGGTGACTTTGGGTTGATCTCCAGGAGCATTCTGATCTGAGCTCTTCTTGAACAATAATTGTTTTTTCTTGTCGAATGCTGCTAATCTGGCGCGTTTTAGTGCAACAACGTTGGGTGCTTGAACTGGTTCTTTTTCAAAACGATCAACGATCCGAGTTCTTCTTTCAGCGGGCGGGTCAACATGGGGATCTTGAGATGACCGGCTAGCATTGGATTCTTGAACGGATGATTTGAACTTGTCGCCAAGTTCTTCTGCCAGTTTCTTCTTCAAGTCAAAATAGCTTGCAGTTAAGGTTCCCAGGTGTGTTTGCAGATCAGAGATTTGCTTTGATTTCAGAGTCTTATCTGCTTCAAGATCTGCAACACGAATGTTAAGCTGAGCTTTTTCGGCTTCAAGACCAGCTACACGAATATCAAGCTCAATGTTTTTCTGGTTTAGCACACCGATCTCCTTTCTAAGTTCGTGCATGGTGGAATCATCCTCTCCTGAGTGGCTTTCCTCTATAGAAATTCCTTTAGCGCGGGAGGAAGGCACTGAGCTTTGTTGTTGGGCCAGATGCATAGCAAGCCTCTCAGAGGCAGCATCATGAAAAGGCCTAGGAGGAGATGATCCCGGGGGAGCTGATGAACCACCAACTTCAAGAATGGTGCTTGGTCTTTCGTGGGATGGTACAGATGAAACAGCAACAAAAGTACTTGTTGGAGTAGTTGTTGGTTGAGTCTGATGGCCTTGAGATTGATCTAAAATGAATACTCCTTGTCTCGGATCGCGTCTTCTCCTTTTTAACGGAGACCGGGAGGTCAGAATCGTCAACAGTTTACTCACAGATGGCTCAGTAGTAGGAGTAACATCCCCAAGGGGAGGAATCCCTGAAGTTGTCTCCATAGGAGTTGTAGTGTCAGCCATTGGGTTGGAAGTAAGAGGCGTTGTTTCAAGAACATCTTCTGTATCCCTTATCTCCGTTGCTGGATGAGTAACATCACGGATACTGTCAAAAAACGAGTCAAGGTCTTCAATGAACAAGAGGTGGGTGAGGCTAGAGAAAAGGCTATAGGTGGAAAGCATATTCTAAAGAGAGAAAGGTAGAGAGAAGAATAGTGTGTGTGAGAGAATCTTGTGTAAGGAGCATCATTCATATCTTCAATACATTCAAGATTCATCATCTTCTTCTTCTACTTCTTCTCCATAGGTCTTAATGGGTCTTTTGTCATGTAATAGAGTTGTTTGGATATGTTTACAGCCAATAGTCTGTTTACGGCCAGCCTTTCCCCTATATATAGGGCTTGTCAGAGTCTGTCAGTTGTTGTTGTCAGTTCACAGAGTTTACGGTCTATGTGTGTGTGTCCAAGTTGTACCTTACGTTTCTTTGATATAAACGTGTGCAAAGCTTGGTTTAATCTTCTGCTACTCCATTCTAATCTTGTTTGATTGTTATTTGTTTGATCACTGGTTCGGATCCTAGATTTCAGGGCCTTACAACTATATAATTTAATTAATTTTTTCATAATTATTAAAATTTTAATTATAAAATTGATCAAAATTTGTTTTTCCTCAATTCTAATTAATCAATTCTTCCACACAATAATTGATATCGTTACTTAGCCCTAAAAATAAGTTAATATGTTCTCTAAATATATTGTATGGATATACAAATTAATAAAAATTAAAAAAAATAATTAATTAAATAAATAACGACAAATCAAATTAAATTTTTTTATAATTAAATATTTATAAATTTGGAAACTAATACTATCTTTAATTTAATTCCATTATTTAAGGAATGAAGGGTCAACGCATAACCTACCACTTCTCCGATCTCCATCTTCATCGCTTCTCAACTACAGTCCGGCCACCATTGCTGCCCAACACCATCGCCAAGCACTAATTGCTTCCTCCACAACCAGAACGCACCAGAACATATACTTTCATCTCCTTCCTTGTTTTTCATTATTTTTATGCCCACCTGCGAATCGAAGAGATATAGAGGGGATCTCCATCTCCGGCGCTTCCCTCTCCACCGTCGCCTGGTTATCAGATCCAAGTTTAATTTCTCTTGGTGCTCTTTGCTTTAATCATCTGATACGAAAGATATAGACACCAAATCCCCTGTTTACCATGGATTAAGCAAGCTATCACTTCTGTCAAAGGTTAGAATCGTATAATTTAACTGACTTCGATTATTTTCACTTGATACTGTATGGTGCTTGATTGCACACTAATCGATGCTTTAGTAATACAAATTAGTTCGATTCTTGAGAGTTGAGATAAGAAAATTAATATTATAAATTACGATTTATTTTTGAAAATGTGCAACTGAGTAGGATCTAAAAAAAATTAAATCTTTAATTGAGTGATTTGTAGGAGCTATGATGAAAGCTACATTGATGGGTCTGTTATTGAGCGTTGTGTCATCACAGTGAAGAACGTAAAATATTTCTCATTGCCTGGTGTTGGTAGTTGCTACCTTTTGATTTATGCATTTGCTAAATTGATCAAGGGGATGAAGATCATTTTAATATTAAGTCTGGTATAGATTTAACTTAAGGGGTGTTTGTTTTAGCTTATTAAAGGCTTTTTTTTTTCCGAGCATAAGCTCATTTTTTCTGACTTATTTTCTAACTTATGAGCTTATTATGACTTACACTAAGAAAATAAGCCGGATTTAAGAAAAATAAGTTAGAAAAAATGAGCTTATGAAAAATAAACTCGAAAAAATAAGCCCTTAATAAGCTTAGCCAAACACCCCCTTAGAATATTTCTCATTGCATGTATTTATGTTTCCATATCATACAAACATTCTGTCAGAGTTTTAAACTGTTATAATAATATATAATTTGAACTGTATTTCAAGAGAAGAGCGTACTCCCTTAGAGAAGGCTTTTTATTTTATTTATTTTTGTAGATTAACTATAAATGAACAAAGACTATTTGAGCAGATGAAAACATGTATGTATGTTTCCATATCATACAAGCATTCTGTGAGAGTTTTAAATTGTTATTATTTTCTATAGGTGCTACTATACTCACATAAATTGTCAAATCAAACACTATTCCACTACACTAAGCAATTTGGGAGGGTAAGTATAGAATTTCCCTTTCGATATATATTGTACGACAAGTGTTTGTGGAAATGCGCGAAAGAGAATTTGACCATGTGGTAGAATTACTAAATTTTTATTTTCTTATTTGTTATATAAAAACATTCTCACAGAATGGATTCCAAGTTATTTTACAACTTGAGGATAGAGATTCTTTTAAGAACATCACTAAACACTCTTGGTAGGATGCGTTGTACAAACAAAGAATATGAAAATCTCACATACCATCCACATCTTCTGAACGTGTACAAGCAAAGAAACAACATTGTATCTGGTTTTCTAGTTGTAAGGGGTCAAAATGGGTGCGATTTCACTGAGTTTGCTCCATCACATGGGTCAAAAAGTCTTGATCTTGGTTTTCTACCACACAATGCCGAAATTCTAGCATCTTCAGAGCAAGGAATCATAGTTTTTGAGGTTCCTCATCCAATGGTTGATGGCTTGGTTCGTTACCATGTGTGTAAGCCTACAACTAAGCAGGTTTTGGCTTTGCCAAATCCCAAAACCAAGTATTTAACCAAGAGAGTTTCCATGGTTGTGACGGGTTCAAAGCCATTGCGTTATAAGATTATCAGATTATCCGAACCTAAATTTAATCCCAAGTATGTTTTGTTGTTAGTTGCATAAATTTTCTAGTTTTATTTCTGTGTTTCTCGTTTTTCCAAATTATAACTACTTATTTTGATTGTGTTTTTTTTTTCAAGGTATGATCAATATTATACAACATATTATTGTGAAATTTTCGACTCAAGAGCATGGACATGGAGACGACAAGATCTTTTAGTATTGCCTTTTCATGACTTTTTGCCTTGCCAACAACCGATCACCGTGAGGGGATCCATCTACGTGTTAACGACAAACAACGATGTATTGAAATTTAATGCATATTCTGAAAAATGGACACCCTTTTCAATTCCTATTGAAGACCTCGATTATATTCTCATTCCAAGGAAACTCGTAAAATATCAAGGCAAGTTGGGGTTTGCTTGTATGACACCAGGTCGTCTTTCTTGGGAGATTTGGGTTCTTACAATTGATGAATCATGGGAGAGACTCCATGTTTTCTTTGCACAAAGTTTACTAGAGGCTATATATGATTCGGACACGATAGTTATGAGGGAGGACATGGCACTTGTATTTTACAGGTTTGGGTTTAAAGAAGGTGATTATATATGTAAGGTCCCACTGTTTGATGGACATGGTTGGTATTATTATATGCGGATCTTCCCCTTCCGATCTGATTTTGAACAAGTGGATTTAAGAGGTTCATAAATGTTGAACATTTTGTTTATTAAAAAACATAAATTATTATATAACGATAACTTCATCATGTATTGAATCTGAATCGCATTCAGAAAATTCATATTTGGATGTTGTAGTTAGCATCGATAGAGTTTGAAAGATAAATGAAAAGAAAGTTTTTTGATTTCATCAGGAATTCAGGAGTAACAACGTAACATTTTATATATGCTTCTCTCTTTTTGCAGCTTATAAAGTTTGTTGATAAGAAAATCGAACACGTTTGTCATAATTGTATATGGCTAAAATAATTGATACGAAGATTTACAAAGTAAGAAATAAATAACGTTTCACTTGAACCTTATTTCCCCCGATCATACCATGTGCAATTTGTTGTTTTGTATCACATGATTGTAATGTGTAAATTTGTTTGAGATTTCAGCGAGCAGCCACTTTTCTGGCTAAGATGAAACAGTGAATGTTTTTGAGGCTTCCAATTCCCACTCCATTTGTAAAAGCTGAACTTGTGGTACTCTGGTTGAATGCTTCTACTAAGAACAAAGAAATTACAAACGGATATCTGTCAATTCGAGGTGTCAGATTATTCTCCTAAGCATCCCATCCTCTGAATCATAACCCTGTTCTTAATCGAATAGAAAAGATTATGTTATTGCTCAGCCATGTTGACTTTGAATACTGACTTCATCTTTTGACTAGTCGTCCCTACTACTTCTGATGGACAATTTAATTTTTGATGGAGTTTATTTGATCTACTAACCAGAATACCCAATTTCTTAATAACCTTTTGAAAGTATTCTTTTACACCCTTAATGCTCTAATCTACCAATGAACAGATCCAATGCCCTTTCGAACTGCTCCGATGTTTCTCTCCATCTTATTGATTCTCGATCCTACTGATCTAATCATAATCACCGATCGAATTTGCAAGGTTTTTATTCAATCAACATGTTTTTAAAGTGAATAGGCTTTGTGACTATAAATCCATAACATTTGGGTGTTGAAACGTTGAATACAGACATTACGATTCTTATTTCACCCTTCCATAGGTTTAGGCTGATCCATAAATTGTTCGATTAAGGGAACAATATCGGAATTGTCCGAGCGAATATTCACACGTAGTTCCAAGTTCAACTTTAACGAGAGAAGGGAAGAAAGTAGAAGGAATTGAGAAAAAAATGTCGTTCTATAGTTTTTTCTTTGTTTATTTATTTATTAATTTATTAATTTTTACTTTTTTTTTGAAAGAAAAACGATTAGAAGAGAAAAACATTGATTCTTAAAAACATTCATATCTTATCTACAACACCATTGCTTTTGGCTGCACACGCCTCCTCCAAGCTGCAATTTCTTGTCCCTGCCAATATTGGAGAAGATGAAGTTAGTCAACGTTGACTTCTTGAATATATTTGACTTTCTGTTAGAGAGTTAGTTGTTTGTTAGCTATAGTTTAGTTAGTTAATCAGAGTTAAGTTAATTAGTTGTTTTACTTGATGTATATTTAAGTTAATTAGTTGTTTTACTTGATGTATATAGATTGTATTGGTTGTTCAGATGAATTAATGAGATGAGAAATTCTTTCCAAATCTTGAACTTCTACATGGTATCAGAGATGAAAAATACGATCATGCGTTCTTCGTTCTTCATACTGTAGATTGATTCTTGTTCTTCAATCTACATACTTTTTTTTGATTCAAATCACAGATTGATTCTTGTTCTTCAATCTATTTCATTTTTGTTTCATTTTCATTAGATCGATTTTGTTTTTCGATCTAATTCTGCATCATGTCCACAAATTCGTCTTCATCTACAAATTCATCTGGAACAATTGAAGTTTCTAATCCGTTGTTTCTAGGACCTTCGGATAATCCTAGCGCAATTTTAGTTTCAAAATTTTTTGATAGATCTAGTTTTTCGATGTGGAAGAGATCGATGATTCTAGCACTTTCAGCCAAGAATAAACTTGGATTTGTTGATGGATCTCAAGTTCAACCAGATGAAGCTTCTGCACTGTTTTAAAATTGGAACATAGTCAACTCAATGGTTATAAGCTGGTTGGTGAATTCGTTATCAAAAGATATTACTAAAAGTGTTCTTTTCTTACAAACTGCTAAAGAGATTTGGTCAGAATTAATTCAAAGATATGAGCAATCTAATGGAGCATTGATATATCAGATTCAAAAATAGCTATTCTCAATCAGTCAAGGATCAGATGATTTTTCATCTTATTTCACTAAGATCAAACGAGTTTGGGATGAACTCAAGATGATACATGAAGTTCCAAATTGTTCATATGGATCTGCTGCAAAGATTAACAAATTTCTAGAAGAACAAAGACTAATTCAATTACTAATGGGGCTTAATGATTCATACAAGTCCATTCGAGGTCAGATCTTAATGATGAATCCCCTTCCTAGCATTGCTACTATTCATTCCTTGTTGATTCATGAAGAAAGACAACATGATATCACTACTAGCCCTACTATTGTGTCTGAAGCAATGGATATGAATGTTAACAGTTCTCATAATTCACACAAGAAACAGTTACAATGTACTCATTGCAGAAAGACAAGTCCTGTTAAGTCTCAATGCTATAGACTAAATGGTTTTCCTGCAGATTTTAAATTCACTAAGACAAAGAAAGTTGAGTCTACAATTCATAATGTGAATGATCTATCTTCATCAAGTGCTCCATCTACACTTTCATCTAGCTCTAAATCTATCACTCTTGAACAGTACAAACAGTTGATGCAACTTCTAAATAATAATGTCAATGAATCTACACAGATCAACTCTGTTATTACTGATGGAGCTATGGATACTGCAGGTAATTTTGTCGATTCTTATGGCAAGCATGTTTCTTACATTTTAATGTAATTGAGTCTAATAGCCAAGAATCTACATCATGGATAATCGATTCGGGAGCATCAGATCACATTTGTTCAAACAGATCAATGTTTTCATCTTTGAAAACATTTAAACGACTTCATCTAATCGGTTTACCAAATGGGCAATCTATTCATGTTTCTTACAATGGCAGTGTTCCAATTCACGAGAATATTGTGTTTCATCAAGTTCTTTATGTACCAGAGTTCAAACACAATCTTATTTCAGTTGCTCGTGTCACTTCTCAACTCAAGGTTTGGATTCTTTTTACTGATGAATTCTGTGCAATGCAGGCCCCTTTGTCGAGCAATAAAATCATCATTGGACAAAGAGTGAAGAATCTTTACATTAGAGATTACAAATTCATCAAGAATCCTAGTCCTTTAGTTCATTCTCTCAATAATTGGCAGTCTTGTAATAAGAATGATTTTCACAATCTTTGGTACAATAGATTGGGACATCTTCCTCTTTATAAGATGAAATTCATTTCTTTGTTGTCTAAACATTGTAATGACAAGAACTTTGATACTTGTACTATTTGTTATCAAGCTAGGCAACACAAATTGTTTTTTGCTGACAGTAATACCATTTCAAATGAGTTGTTTGAACTTGTACATGTTGATATTTGGGGACCCTACAAAATTCCAACATATAATGGGTATAGATATTTTCTTACTCTTGTGGATGATTATTCAAGATGCACCTGTGTTCACTTACTCAAAAATAAAGGAGATGATTTTGCTCTTATACAGGCATTTACTAAGTATGTTCAAGTTCATTTTAAAACCCATATCCAAATCATCCGTTCTGATAATGCTCTTGAATTGGGGTCAAGCAAAGAAGGAATTCAATTTTATGCAACTCATGGAATTCTTCATCAAAAATCATGCCCTCATACACCCTAACAAAATGGGGTTGTTGAAAGAAAACACAAGCACCTTCTTGAAGTTTCTAGAGCTCTTTTTTTTCAATATGGTCTAGGTAAAACTTTTTGGGGAGAATGTGTTTTAACTGCTGCTTACTTAATCAATAGAATTCCTTCCAAGATTCTGAATAATCTCACACCCTATGAAATATTACATAAACAACAACCAAATTTAGAATCGTTGAGGTCTTTTGGTTGTTTGTGCTATGTGTCTACTATTTCACAAAATAGGGATAAATTTATGCCAAGGGCTAAGAAATGTATTTTCATAGGATATCCACTTGGGCAAAAAGGGTATAAATTTCTCAATCTTTCCACAAATGAAATCATTGTCTCCAGACTTGTTAAGTTTGTTGAAACTGTTTTTCCCTTACACAACAATCATTCTGAAGAAGGTGTTGCTTCATGCTTTCCTAAAGCTTATGATTGTCCAGATTCTGAATTTTCTTCAAATGGTTCAGTTGATCACAATGATTCTTCAACCAATGCTCATTCTGATGCAGCTCCATCAAATGAAAATTGTGCCCCTACATACAATGAGCCTTCTCTAAATGTTCCTTTAAGAAGGTCAACACGAGCAACTCATCCTCCAACTTATCTCAATGACTACATATGTAACAATGTAACAAATCATGATGATAATGGTTGTGATCGTCCTCATACTATCACAAACATGTTTATTCCTGATTCTACATTCTGTTCTCATGTTGTTAATTTAATAGAAGTTTCAGCATTCAATGTCCATTCCAAAGTTGTTGAACCATTATACTATCATCAAGCAAAGGGTAATCCATTATGGGAAAAAGCTATGCAAAAGGAATTTTCTACTCTTGATGCTAATCAAACATGGGAAATTGTCCCACTTCCAAAAGGAAAAAGACCAATTTCTTGCAAATGGGTATATAAAGTCAAATATAAGGCAGATGGCAATATTGAGCGATATAAAGCAAGGCTTGTTGCTAAGGGTTTCACTTAAAAGGAAGGTATTGACTATCATGAGACTTTTTCTCCTGTTATAAAGTTCAACACTGTTAGATGTTTGATCAACTTAGCGGTCAAAAAGAAATGGAAAGTACATCAATTTGATGTTAATAATGCTTTTCTTCATGGAGATCTACATGAAGATGTATATATGAGATTTTCCCCCTGGCATGAATAATTCTTCTTCACAACTTGTATGCAAGTTAAAGAAGTCCCTTTATGGCCTTAAACAAGCTTCTAGACAATGGTATGATAAACTCTCTTCTGAACTTAATTCTAAAGGCTTTATTAGATCTAAAAATGATCATTCTCTGTTCATCAAAAAGCTTGAGAATTCCATTGTAATTGCGGCTGTATACGTTGATGATGTCTTA